CTGTGCACCTTGCAGCTGATCGAAGAGGTCATCAATCCTGGGAAGGGGATATTTGTTCTTAATTGTAACCTTATTCAATCCTCTGTAATCAATACACAGTCTCAATGTTCCATCTCCCTTCCTGGCAAAAGTGACTTCGGCACCTCAAGGGGACACACTGTCTTGCAATTCAGTGATCTATTTCCTCAGCTCTTCCATCTCAATGCGGCTCATGCGGTAAGGAGCAACCGAAATGGGCTGGGTGCCTGGCTGTAGGTCTATAGTGAATTCGATTTTCTTGTCCACTAGCAGTCCGGGTAGTTTGTCCGGAAATACATCTGGAAAGTCTCGGACTACCGGAATCTCTTAGATACAAATTTCCTTTTTGGGCTTACCTAGTTAGAGAAAATAGCAAGATTAAGGTACTAAAAAATTAAGGAAACTTGCCATCAAGGAATAAGTACTAAATGATTTTATTAATTTGTAAATGGCTCCTTATTAGGAGGATTAAATACAACCTTCTTGTTAAAGCAATCTATGGTGGCGTGTTGCGCCGCTAGCCAATCCATTCCTAAGATTACATCAAAATCCCGTGTCTAACCCTATCAGGTCTACACTCAGTTTTCTATTTGCTATCTCTACGGCACAAGCCCTATAAACAACTTTTCCTAATAATGTTTCACTCCCAGCAGTAGACACAAACAACATTGAATCAAGTTTATCAGATAATACATTAAGTTTAGATGCAAAAACATGTGAAATAAATGAATGCGATGCACCAGTGTCAAATAAAACATAAGCAATATGGTCACAGAAAGTGTACATACCCTGTACCACGTCCGGGTCGGCATCGGCATCCTGTTGGGTGAGGTTGTAAACCCTGCCCTAAAAATGAGGTCTTCCTTGGTTCTGGTTCCTCGGGCACTCTCTCGCATAGTGCTGGGCACTACCACATATGCGGCAGGTGTTGTTGAGGCGGTAGCATGGTCGGTCCCTGTGATCTCTGCCATAGTGCTGGAAGATCTTTCCACGTACTGCCCCTGGAGCCTAAGGAGGGGCCTGGATCACTGGTTTGGGCCTCTTATTTGGTTGGACCGGCGCAATATGCGCTGGTCTGAGGGGTGGAGCTGAGGGTCGGTGACTCCCTGCTAACTGAGGACGGGTGTTGAAACTCCTTTTCACAATCTGTGCTTTTGCTAGAACGGCTGAGTATGTCTTAAGCTCCAGTACTAATAAGTGTTGCTTGATCTCTGGGCGGAGGCCCCACTGGAATCTCCTGGCCTTCCTGCCCTTATCCATCAATGTCTCCGAGGAGTATCGACCCAGCTCTAGCAACTTACTAGCATATTCCGATATCGTCATGTTTCCCTGGACTAGCTGAACAAACTCTATCTCCTTCGGGTGTCGGATGTGCTCAGGGAGATACTCCGCATGGAAGGTCGCTAAGAACTGTTCCCAAGTGGCTGGTGTAGGCAGGGTGGTCTGCTTGAGCTCCCACCAAATACCTGCTTCCCCTACCAGCATGTAGGAAGCAAGGGTAGCTCTCTGCTCGGGAACCACTCCCAAAGTCTTGAAAGCTCTCTCAGTCTCCGCTAACCAGTACTGGGCATCTTCGAAAGAGGATCCCCCTGCAAAAGTGGAAGGGTTCAGTCTCTTGTACCTCTCTATGTAGCCTGGGTCAATCAAGGAATGAGCTGGGTCCTGTGGAAGAGGGACTGAGCCCGGCTGGGGATAGACTGGGGGGCCCTGTGGTGGCACCTGATGATATAGTGGGGGCACCGGATTGTACTGTGGCGGTGCCAGGTACGGTGGCTGGGGGACCGGTTCACACTGCGGCGGTGGTGCCGGGTGGTACTGTGGTGGAGCAGGCTTGTGTCGGGGTGGCTCGGGATCCACTTGCTGTAGCGGTGGCTCAACCTGTGGTAGTGGGGGAGGTTCGGGTAACTCCCTTCTCTCCTCTCGACATTGCTGGGCAGCCATGATCCTTTCTAGTATCTCAAATATTCTGTCCACATCTTCCCGAAGCGAATCATCCCGGGCTGCTCGGTTTAGTGGGGGTCTTTCTCTCCTTATTTCTCTGCACCTGCATTTCACAAGGAAGAGTTGAGTAACGATTTATCGGTGGGTATTTCTCTAAGCATTATTGTGTAAGGGATGAGTCCGAGGAACGCGGCTCTGATACCAACTGTAACGGCCCCGGAAATTTAAAAGAAAATATATGTATTAAAAATTCTAAGTGCGGAAGCGAAATAAAAATTTTGATTAACATCCCTTACACAATAACCAATAACGTATTCAACGTATGAAAGAATAAATTAACTAAGGTAAATACTAGTAATTAATGCTATAAATAAAACTATGAAATCTTTAGACATCTACTCGCCGTCTTCCTGCGGGACGGGCTCAGGAACCAAATCCTCCTGATCTGAAATGGTTAAATAAGGAATGAGCTACACTAGCCCAGTAAGGACATCACAATATCTCACTGTCACAGAAGTAAAGGTTGGTAGAAAACAAAAAAAACGACTAATGGAGCATAATTCATGATAAATTCATTTTTCAATAATAAAACCTTTTACTGTCCACTTACCTCAGTGAACTTCATGAAAACAACATAAGAAAACAATAACGTTATAATATCATGAGATCATACACACTTTATAACATAACACATATCATACATTTGCATTTCAATCATCAGACAACAGATTTTTCTCTTTTATCACCCTACTAGTATCCATGGGGATCCATAGGGGTCCCCGCTACACGTGAACCATTTACATTAATAACTTGATTCAGGGTCGTCCCCATACCCTGTCCGGTAGGGGCGCCAAAACCATAAACCTCAATACTCCGTCCAGTATGAGGGTGAAACGGACCGTCCCCATACCCCGTCCGGTATGGGCGCCAAAACACATAAGGTCTCCATACCCCATCCGATATGAGAGACCCCGTTCCCGGTAGGGTTTTCTACGGACCCGGTCCGTCCACCATCTCCCAAGATATCTAGTTAGGCTGTCAACATCATCCATTTATCAATTCACATACTTTTTTTCATTTTTCTTGGTCTCAATTATCTAATCGAACATAAACACGTAAACCACCAGTAATGAACACTAAACAAGACAACAACAGATTCACAATAATTCAAACCATAATAAACGAAACCGTGATTCATGCACACGAAACCATAAAATAAACACATCAGATGCCATACTGCATATAAAACTGTAAAATAGATCAAACAACAACTGACAGAAAAATACATCAGATTCGGGCTCCATTAGCAACCTTAATTAATAATTATACACAATTCATGAAATACCGTTTTATCATTTATTGAGCTTTAATACTGTGATAGAAAAATAGGGTGAGAAATCCTTACTTGTTTTGGGGTCTGAAATTGGGTTCTCACTGCGCCTATGGGCTGTCCCTAAATTCCCTGAATTTTTTCTGAGAAACTGAAACACACTTCCGGTACTTGCACATATCCCAAAAAACCCCAAATCAGACCCAGGGCCCTTTTAAGCCAATATCAGAATTCTGGCACGGCGGCTCCGCCATGCTCCGGCAATGGCACCACCGCCCGCGGCGGCGATCCGCCTCGGGTTGGCCGTTTTCGGCCAAACTTACATTGGTTCTTGCGATAAAACAACCCTAGGGCCATCGGTGGGCCAAAAAATTACGAAAAACCGAGACTTACCGGCGGCAGAGCTCTCGGGTGCGGCGGCTTCTCCAGCACGAGTCGCGATTTGATGTTTTGCTCCGGTCAACCTGTAGAAAAAAGGACGGTGATCACAGTGGTGTAAAAATTGCATCGAACGGGAACCGGGAAGGGCTTCATCGGAGGCAAAAATCGAGGGAAGCCGCGGCGGCGCCACTAGACTTCAGCGGTGTTTTCTGGCCGATTGGCTGGTGGTTTAGCTTCAATTTAGCTATAGGCGGATTCAGCATCGAAAAACGAGCCAATGGGAGAAAATTTACATCGTTTGGTGGTCGAAAAATCCTCCGATGCGGCGGCGGGTGATGGCGGCCGGCTCCTCCGATGACTGGTTCTTCTTCTCCGGTGAGGGTACTAGCGGGTAGGGTTTGGGGTTGGATGTGGGTGAGGTTATTTATAACCTTCTCTTTTTAATCTCAGCCATCCATCACGATTTAATCTGGGCTGTCCGATCGCGATTAAAATAAGAATAAATCTGGGTCTTCCATCGCGATGCGATCTAGGCCGTCCGTGCGTGATTCAATCTGGGCCGTCCGCACGCTTGAGATCTGAGCTGTTCGTGTGCGTGAGATCTGGGTCGTCCGTACGCGTAAGATCTGGACCGTTCGATCGCGTGCACGCGGATCGCCCACGTGGTTCCGTCCCGCGTGGCCTCCCGCATCAACGTCTTTGCCACGCGGCGTGTTCTGGTTGGCCGGGGCTGCTGACTGGGTTGTTGACGTGGTTTCTGACGTGACACAACTTTTTTAAATTGCGTTTTGACTCTCGATTTTCGATTTTCTTTTCAAAAACACCCCTAGAATCTAAATTTTCACCCATTTTTCTTAAAATCAATTTCAATTAAATCCCAAAAATAATTTTACTATATTTTATTATTATTTTTATTTTTATTTCTATTAAATTAAATTAAATTAAATTAAAATCTTACAAATTAAATATTAAAATAGAATAAAATTAAACAAAAAAATTCTAATAAAATTTAAAATAAATTAAAAAATAAAAATATAAATTTTGGGTGTTACAAGTATCTTCTTGGCCATGTC